ATGCTGGTAGCTCACAGGTATAATCGTAGCTACTCAGAAGGCTGAGATCTGAAGATTGTGGTTCAAAGCCAGCTGGGGTAGAAAAGTCCATGAGACTCTTATCTCTAATAAACTATTTTTAAAAAGCCAAAAGTGGCTCTGTGGTTCAGGTGGTAGAGCACTAGCTCTGAGCAAAAGAAGCTTAGGGGTAGCACCTACATCCAGAATTCAAGCTCCAGGACTGGCAAAAAAAGTATTAAATTCAATGGGTTTTAGTTATTCATAGAATTTTGAGATCATCACTACTATTTAATTTTAGAACATGTCTAGCACTCTCCAAAGAAATGTCATATTTCCTAGTATCCACTTCTAATATCTCCTTCCCCTCCTTCCTCCTCTTTTGCAACTCTAGGAAGTCACTAACTTACTTACTATCTTTATGGAGTTGCTTATTCAGGATATTTAATGCAAATGCTATATATAGTTTATGTCTGCCTTCTTCCATCTATATTAATTATTCCAAGGTTCATCTGTGTTGTAGTACTTACCATTTTGTTTTGTTTTGTTTAACCAAACTCTTTTTCCCCAACTACTTCACTTCCATATTTGTCTTTAGCACAAAATTAAAACAGAAGTCAAAAGTTAAAAAAAAAAACAACCTCTAAATATCTGACTTAGATATAGTTAGTTATAAAGGAAGGACAAAGTCTATCATGTGCACAGATGCTTCCTAGGTATGGAATTTTAAGAGGACTTATAGATGAGCTCTCTAATTTTACTATGTAGTTCTTTTTTTGCTGTTTGTATTCTTTTTTTTAATTGTGAAAATACTGTACAGAGTGGTTACAATTACATGGGCAAGATAATGAGTACATTTCTTATCAAGCATTGTTGCCTCCTCTTGTTTCCCCTTCCCATCCCTGCCCATCCTCCCCCCACACCCTCTATCCAACTCTCCTCCCCTCCCCCACCAAAGTTGTAAAGTTTGTTTTTCCACATAACGACTTGTACATCTCACTGTTACAATGGATCCACTTGTATCCCTATTTAAACGAGTTATTTTTTCCCTTCCCCTTCACAAATTATACCAACCTCAAATACAGTGAAAGCAGGGGTTATACCTTGGGGGAGGGACATACAAAGCAACAAATAAATAATCTTATAAATGTGTTAGAAACAATCACCTGAAAGAAAAAAAACATTTGAATACATATCTTAGGGTTCATGTCCCTAACATCAACTTATATGACCTTTTCTGCTTGACTCAAACATCTACTAGTTATTGCAAATAAGGGAAACCATTGGACCTCTGTTTCTTTGGGCCTGGCTTACTTCACTTAATAGAATTTTTTCCAAGTCTTTCCATTTCCTAACAAATGGGGCAATGTCATTGTTTCTGATGGAGACATGGAATTCCATTGTGTATATATACCACATTTTCTTGATTCATTCATCTACTGAGGGGCATCTGGGTTGATTCCATATCTTAGCTATGGTGTATAATGCTGTGATAAACATAGTCGTGCTGGTAGCTTTAGTGTGGCCTTGTTTGTGATCGTTTGGGTAAATGCCCAAAAGTGGGATTGCTGGGTCATAGCTCTATGTGGAGTCTTTTGAGGAACCTCCATACTGCTTTCCAAAGTGGTTGAACAAGTTTACACTCCCACCAACAATGCAGTAAGGTTCCCTTCTGTCTACATCCCCTCCAGTGAGGTGGTATCTCAATGTTGTTTTGATTTGCATTTCTTTTATCGCTAGGGAGGTTGAGCATTTCTTCATGTGTCTATTGGCCATCCTTCTTTCCTCTTCAGAGCAGTGTCTCTTTAAGTCTTTAGCCCACTTATTTATTGGGCTGTTGTTTCTTTGAAGATTTGTTGTTGGGGGATTTAATTTTTTGAGTTCCAGGTATATTTTAGATATGAGACCCTTGTCTGTTATAAGGCTAGTAAAGATCTTCTCCCAATCCGTGGGCTTTCTATTAATCTTGCTAGCTATGTTCTTTGCCATACAGAAGCTCTTTAATTTCATGCAATCCCATTTGTCCAACCTTTCTTTGATTTGTTGTGTTTCTGGGTCTCTGTTAAGAAAATTTCGGCCTGTCCCAAGGAGACCTAGGGTTTCTCCTATTCCATCCTGTAATGTTTTTAGGGTGTCTGCTTTGACTCCGAGGTCTTTGATCCATTTGGAGTTGATTCTGGTGCAGGGTGATAGATCAGGATCTAGCTTTAGTTTTCTGCAAGTAGTTAACCAATTTTGCCAGCACCATTTTTTTTAGCTCCCTTATCGAAAATTAGATGGCTATAGGTTTGTAGGTTCATTTCTGGGTTTTCAATTCTATTCCTTTGGTCCTGAGGTCTGTTCTTGTGCCAGTACCAAGCTGTTTTGGTTACTATGGCTTTGTAGTAGAGTTTGAAATTTGGTATTGATATTCCTCCAGTACTGTTCTTTCTGTTGAGGATCGTTTTAGCTATTCGGGGTCTTTTATTTTTCCATATGAATTTTTGGATTGCCTTTTCTATTTCCTTGAAGAATGAGGTTGGAATATTGATAGGTATTGCATTGAATTTGTAGATATCGTTTGATTACTTAAGGTATTTTTCTTGCTTTCATATTTTTATGAAGTCTGGCTTTCCGTCTTTCCTTGAGGTAGAACATTCCAAGTAGTATTGAATGGGGTGGGGGGGTCCTGCCTTTTGGTAGCATCAGGTAACACACAGATCTTAAACCAATTTCCAAATAAGGCATACTCTCTACAAAACAAGGAGGGGGATATTTAGGAAGAAGTAAAGAGAAGAATACAGTCCTGAATTTGTGTGTGTGTGTGTGTGTGTGTGTGTTTAGATAAATGGTTAAGTTAAAACTCATAGCAAAGTATTGTCAGTTCATGAAAAGTCTTGTTTTTGTTTTAATTTTCTACCTCCTACTTTTATATGTCTCCCTTATAGGTGTGACATATATATATATATATATATATATACACACACACACATATATATATATATATATATATATATATATATATATATCCTTAAGAGAAACCTGTCTTTAATGGACTATTTATTTGGGATATGAATGAGGATGATTATATGAATCATATCATGCCATAAATAACAGTATGTTACTTAGAAAAAACTTCCCACTTAAGTTAATAACATATTCATGTCATTGTGGATTTATTTATTATTCCAACTCCTGCATACTATTTTATAATATGTTTCCACCACAATTCACTCTTCCATTCCTCTGGCAATGGAAACCTGCCATAGAGTAACATAGTGACTATCCTCATCTTTATTTCTGTAGAAACTTGAGGGAGGATTATGTTGGTGTGTATATCTAGGAGATATGGTGGGCTGTGGGACCTAAATGCACTATTTTCTTTATGAGGCCTTTCTAGGTAGTATCAGCATCTTGCCAGTTCCACCTCTTTCTGGCAATTGTTGTAGAGAGCAATTGTTGTGGGGAGGGAGGCAGGCTGCAATTAGCTTGCTGGGCATAGCATGGTGGGATGTCACCTCTCTTCTTCTGCTGGGACTTTTCTGAGACATCAAATATTCAGGGAATCTGCTTAGTACTCAAGCCAGCATGTGAAATGGGAGAAAGGAAGAACAGAAACTTCTCTTTGGGATATAGAAGACAAGGGATAAATACCTCCCATTATATCCCCCTAGGGGACAGTTTTTTTGGGGGGGGGGTTGAGAAGTATAAGTATTTTTAATCTTATAGGATGTTTCTTGACAGTTTTTTTTAAAAAAAATTTAATTGTGAAAATACCATACAGAGGGGTTACAATTACATGGGCAAGATAATGAGTACATTTCTTATCAAGCATTGTTGCTTCCTCCTTTGTTTCCCTTTCCCATCCCTTCCCATCTCCCTTCCTCTCCTCCATCGCCTTTACCCCCTCCCCCCCACCAAAGTTGTAAAGTTTGTTTTTCGATATAATGGTCTGTACATCTCATTGTTGCAACAGGTCCACCTGTATCCTTTGTTGCTTTGTATGTCCCTCCCCCATGGTATAACCCGTTTTCACTGTATTTGATGTTGGCATAATTTGTGGAGGGGAAGGAAAAAACAAATGGTTTAAATGGGCGACAGTTTTGACATCCTATAAGGCTCTCCCTCAAATCCCTGTGAGATTGGATTCAAGTTGCCAGCTTGGGTTGATAATCTGAAAACTAGCATCCTTCTACCCAATTTTCCCTTCTTTTCTGTTCCAATCTGTTAGTTCATTTCTACTCTTTGTCATTATTCTAAAATAAACAACTTTTAGGCAAAGCCTTTGACTTGGGCTCTACTTTCAATCATTAGTGGTATTATTTATTAGAACATTTGTTCCTAAGAATAATTGCTATCTAGAGTATCCACGCCCTGATCTGTCAGTCTCCAATGTGAAAATCACACTGGATGGTTTCAAAACTTCAGAGGGCAACACTGTGGACAGGGAACTTTGCCTTGCTGGAAGGCATGCTTATAGCTGTTTCCAGTGTAAGCTCTGATCTGAGGTCAGTGACTTTTCTTTTTACACTCAGTTATTTTCAAAGTGTGGTTGCAATATCCATACCAGGCTTATTATCAAACCTGTCCCAAATGTTTCTCTCTATTCTCTCACAATTCATGACCTCAGAAGCTTAAACAAGTGTATGTGATCATAGAAGTACTGTAAAAGAGAGTACTAAAAATAATATTGCTTTTCAATACCAGTTAACTTGGGAACATGATATAACTTCTATTTCCAATGAAGGTCATTACATTCCTAACGACACCTTACACACTACAACATGCATTACTTGTCTCATATTGTTACTCATATTTTCCTTCAGTGGATGTATGTCAACGTGAATGCTTTTGTATGTGTGTAGACAACTTACTTTACTAAGTGACTCGTCTTGAAACAAAGTGCAAATCATGACCACCTGGAAACTGGGAATCAGAAGCACTTCCTTTAACTATGTGTTGCTCTCACTTGGGAATAGTTTTTAAACTCTCATTATCCCCTTCTACTTTTGTCATGTAAACAGGTGGTTAACACATACACTCCAGGAAAGAAGATCTGGCTGGAAGGTGTGCTGACCACCTCCGCAGGAGGCACAAACAATCTGTCAGATTCCTATGCTGCAGGATTCTTGTAAGTAACACCTGTCATTCCACTCCCAGGGACTTTGAAGATGGATGGACAGGGAACTGTGATATGTTCACCATTCTGCTATTGCAGCACCAGGATCATTTCCTCTTCATCTATTCTTTTAGGAAAACACCCATTTCACAAACACTGATTAACAGGGTCTTCCCTTCTCCACTGTGGTGGAACACCTGTTTTTCAGCCTCATGTGGCCTTTCCATAAAAGGAAAGTGATAGACATGCAAAGGAATGAAGAATTCTCTGACTGGGACTGCCATGGAGCCCTGACAGTCATGTGATGGCCTTGAGTCATCACGGGGGGGGGGGGTTACTCTAATTTTATGGGTGAAGATGGTAGTGGTGGCAGAGGAGAGACATTTCAGGTGGAAGAAACATTTTGGGGTAAAGTGTAGTTGAGGGAACAATGATGAATGAGACTAAAAGTTTTGTTCACTGCATGGTTATCATGAGGGCTTAGGCTAGGGAGAGAATTTACCACCTGATCATGAAAGGTCTTAAAATCTACACAGAGGAAATGAAGCCTCGCTTATATCAAGCTATGGCAGCGTTTGGAGAATATGACCTGTGTTGTCAGACTGTGACTGTGGCAATAAGATGCAGAAGCATCTGGAAGAGATGAGAAAATGATCTTGAGAGCTGCTGTTGTCATCTAGGAGACAACACAGAAAAAGCCAGGAGCCTGTGTGCCTGCCAGTGTCATGTGCTAGGGACAGAACCGTGGATGTACGACATGACTTTTTCCTGATCCACCATAGTCCTTTGACTCTGGCTCTCAGGCCGAGCCATGTCCCCCTAATTCTGCAGCTTTGCCCTCAGCTATGTGTTTTGCTACTGCCAGCTGGTCCTAATTATACAGATGCAGTTCCTCTCCATTGAGACAAGTTTCTTTAATATATTGGTGAAGGACAAATCAGACCAGCCAAGGAGATTGCCTTTACAGATGGAATCCTGTCACATGCAGATGAAGATGAGTCCATGTAATTCACCGTGATGCCCTCCCTGGATTCTTCCATATCAGTATCTCAGCTTCTAATATTGTGTAGAACAGAAAAGTCATCCAATAGCATGGATCAAATGAATGAAATGGAGTGCATCAGCATGTAATACCCTGTGGCTGAGAGATTCCTTTCAAAACCACACTCCCCACACTGGTTTAATATGAGCTCTAGTGTAAGGATGAGAAGCTAGGTTGGCAATAGGTAGTAAAGGAAGACCTTTGCAGCCACCCCAGAAATGAGTTTTGTCATGCTGTCACCACATGACCCTGCTTTGAGGCCCAGCAAGCAGCTCAATTGTATTTTCTTGAGCACTCTTCCCCTTGTGGAAATGAGAAATATGACTAATTGTCATGGAAGCAGCTGGAGCAGACATCTTCCTTCTTATGAACACCAGCCAGATCTATCCAGGGATCTCTGTATTCATCTCTGTGTTTACGTTGCAGCACACAGATAAACAGAATTGTTTAGGCTGGGTTGTAGTTCAGATTTGGTTGTAGTTCAGATTCTCAATGCTTGGTTGGACAGAGATCAGATAAAATTAGTTTATTCTGCTTCTGGTCTTCCTCCTATCTCCTTGTCATCCATGTAGCCTTAACTCCTCTGAGCACTCAGCAATATGGCCTTCAAGTCTAGTTCTCTAAGGGACTTACGTTGTTTTCTGTGTCCGGGGAGGGGGGCGGGGAAGAAAGGCATTCCAGGAAGCTCCAATAAACTAGCACATGATTGAGAAGAAGGCATTTCCCGAGTGTGTGTGTGTGTGTGTGTGTGTGTGTCTGTCTGTCTGTCTGTGTGTGTATGTCTGTGTGTGTCTGTGTCTGTGTGTGTCTGTGTCTGTGTGTGTCTGTGTTTTCAGTAACCAAAAGCGCATGAAAATGCATGCATGAATCAGACTTCCCTACCAAGAACTCAGAAGTAGTGTCTCTCAGTCAGGACTTTTAGATCCTTTGGCATTCTGTAAATATAATCTTAGCATGCTATTGTGTCCCCAACACCTAGTAAAGTCTAGCATATACATTGAATGATAGCATTCTTGATGGGGTATACTAGTCATTTTTACCACCTTTCTTTCTATGAACAAACAAAGAAATCTTTAAAAATAAGTGAAACAGCCCTCTCCCTCCCTTTCTAAGGGGATGAAATGGGATTCATCACTAACCATTCTACTGTACGTGTCTGGGGATAGCTGTGATTCTGGCCATAGTCCCTTGAATAGCATAGATTCTGGATACACATACTGGAATACAAACTTGGGTACATATTCCTCCCTCTCGGCTCAGTCTCTTTAACAAACTGCTAGCAAACTTCATTTTCACTAATTAACATTTGTTGAACGTATATTCTATGCAAGTCACTGTTAGGCTGTAGAAGGGTCTCAAACAAGAATTGGATAATATTGCTGGAGCTGTGACTGCGCAGATATTTACAATGCTTTAACAATGACTTCCCCAGTTATGCAAGCATTCTTTGACGGTATCCTCAATGCTGAGAGTAATATATAACTTTTAAGTTGATTCATAGTATCAAATAAGTAATACATGACTGGACAAATGGAATCTTTTCACATGCAAAAACCACTATGATACAGTCTCATATTAATAGATAGAAGCTGCCTGTGGAGAGTTCACATACATGAGATTGTGTATTTACTCATCCTTTGGTTTCCTTTTTCTTCCATTCAAGAAGCATAGAAATTGAAGGTGAAAGGCCACACTTATCTTCATAGATGTCTACTTGTTAGATATTGACCCTCCACATGAAAAGCACACTGATTTAGAAGCCAGAATTCATGCTGTTGTTCCACTATAGCATACCCTCGACAAGTTATTTACTACTGTGCCTCAGTACTGAAAGAAAAGTTTAACTGGGTAGCCTGACTTCACAGGCTTGCCAAATTAATTAAAATAATAAAAGCAAGTTGCTTAGCAATGTGGTGTTCCAAAAGTCATTTCAGTTCTCTAGGTCACAATGTCCCCATCTAGACAAAAACAAACGCACACGTGCGCACGAGCACACGCGCACACACACTCACATACACAAAGGTTCTGCTATGGTGTAGTCAGAGTTTCCTTTCTATTCAAACTTTTGTTTTTGTGTTTTGCTTTGCCTTCTGTTTTGCTTTTGTGAGTCTAATCGTCAGTAAATGTGTTCGTTTTTATGAGTACAAACTAAAATTGTAAATGTGAAAAAGATTTGAAAATATGAACAATATTTATTCATAAAATAGGAATTAGCAAAGCTCTTTATTCCAGCAAAGGAAAAAAATCTTAATTCTTCTACAAGTCATGGGTTTGGAGCTCCATATGGTTTTAGATTTGAGAAATCTAACTCTGCGTAATTTTTCCCATGTGCTGAATGGTGATTTGCAGAGTTCCTAGAATCTAATTCTCTCCAGATATATTTCAACCTAAAGAGTCCTGAACACCTACAGTGTTCCAGAAACTGTGATGGGTATTTTGTGTGTGAGTTCAAATGTTGTGTCTATGCCTGATGAACTTGAACCTGATGGGGAAAAGCATGGAGACAATGAATGGCTGATGTACTAGGTAGGAGTGGGCACCCATAAGAATCCTGAGAAAGGAGGGAGGGAGGGGCTATTGTTGGCTGGGCTGCAGAGTTGAGGAGATTTGGAGATTAAGATGAATAGATGGGAAGAAATTTTCCAAATGGCCAGAGGTGAGGTAGAGAAGTTAGGAAGGCAATTCTAGGCAGCAGTTAAAACATGTACAAAGCCTCAGATAAGATCAAGAGAGTATGTCATATCTGGTGCTTCCAGAGTAAGTTTTAAGTAGCCCAGAGTCTTGGAGATGAGGTTGATGGTAAAATAAAACAGTCCCCTCCCCACCCCCAACATACACACATGACTGGGACAGACGAGTGCTTTATCTTTCATGTGAAGGTTGAATCTCTAAGTCGCATGTTTTCCACATATATTGTTTGATTACAATTAGAATTCTCCCTAAGTTTCAGAAGTAGGTGAAAAATGACTGCATGAATGCATGACTGAACTGAATGTGTAAATAACAAAGACAGATTCAGCACCCTCTAAGTGCTGGAAGAACCTAGAGGGCAGCACTTTGTAAAGCATGTAATACATGTGTGATCAATCCAAGTCTTCCATCATAGCTTACGTGTGAAGGGAGCATGCTTGGATCCCCGAGGAATTCATTGTGATGCCAAGGGAAAGGAAAACACTGCCAACCAATATTGCTGATGAGAGATGCCAAGGACTGGACTATGCTTGCAAAGGTCATAGTTGTGTAGGTTATGGTGGAAAGTACATGTACATCAGCAGACTGCAAGCAGAGATGTTTAAGGATGGACTGTGTAGAGTCCAGATTCTGTGCTTGTATGTGTGTGGCCAGGAAGAAGCGCAATAGGCTTACTGGTGGCTGGTATATTTATTAGTATTATAATGACACAAGGTAAGTGATTAGTAGCAATGACTTTGTGCCCAAGGGTAATTCCTTTTATTCCCCTGTAAAATAATGACACTAGTTTTAATAATCACTGAAATCTCTTGCAGCTGTGTGTTCAATATTTAAAGTAATGTTCTCCTTTAAAGTATTTAAGTAAATTTGATGGTGGAAGGTTAGCATGGTTTTGCATGTCACAAACTGATCTACACTGAGTTTGTTAGATGCCTTTTGAAAAATGTACTAATGTAACTTTTTTTCTGTCTTCTAGATGGCTGAACACTTTAGGAATGCTGGCCAATCAGGGCATTGATGTGGTGATACGGCATTCATTTTTTGACCATGGCTACAACCATTTGGTGGACCAGAATTTTAACCCATTACCAGTAAGTATGGGATAAAGATTCCCAACTCCTTTTCCATCTCATTCCATTCTTTTGGTCATGCCATTTTTCCACACTGGAAGAATTTCTCTTCTTTTGCCAGTGTCAGTTCATTGAATAAATCACAGAGTAGCATCGAACTTTTGTTTCCTTGATCCATTTTACAGACTGCGGTTTCAACACACACACACACACTCACACTTGCATGCACTCATGTACATAATGCATGTATATATGTTTTACTATTATCTTAACAAACTTTGTACAATTGAGATTCCTCATCTACTTGTGGCCTGTTTGAACTTTGCTTGAGAGTGAATTTTTCCAGATTGTTTTCTTTTAATGCTAATAGGAGACATTAGTTAATGTCAGATGCAGCATGTTGAAAGCAGATGGGAGAATGCTGGCTAAGGTCTGATACAGTAGGAGCCCATCTCTGGGGGCATGGCTCGAGGGCATTTACAGTTCAATGTTGACCCCTACGTGATAATGAGGGGACAATGTTTCCTGAGCACTAACTTCTCTAGGAAAGTAAAAGAAAGCAAAAAATTAAAGGGGAAAAATGCAGCATTTTATTTATTAGCCAATTGGAGAAATCCCACTTAGTCTAGAAAGGCTATATGTTTCAGAACTATTAAGTGAGTTACTCTTACACACAACCTATCATCATCATGATGAAGAGTCCAACTCTCATCAACTCATAAGACTTCAAAGCTGAGGTTTGCTTTGATACAATCTGCTTATGCCTCATTTAATGAAGGTACTAATAGCCTGGGGTGAGTGGGCAAGTAGGAATGTAGAGCCAGCTCTAGATCATGCCTTGAACCCTAATCCAGCTATTTCCATGCCTTCCTAAGATCCATAACAAATAAACGCATATTACAATAGTGCTTATCCATGCCATTTGTTTTCTTTGCCTATTTCTACCCCATTCCCTTTATCTTCCACACTGTGATCCAGAAGGCTCCGAATCCCAGAACAGGAAACGGCCTGACACTCAACTGCACCATTGTGTGTGTGTGTGTGTGTGTGTGTGTTTGTGTGTGTGTGTGTGTACCAGGGCTTGAACTCAGAGCCCCTTACTCTAACATGGAACCATGATGCTCAGATATCAACTTCTTTAATAGCTAGGATTACAGTCAAGAGCTACCAGTGCCTATCAACAGTGCTGTTTCTATATCTCCAAAGAATTCTTCTAGAGTTGAATACTCAGTAATTACTGTATAACTGGGTATTCATGACCCCAAAGACTCCAGGAAAATCACAGATATTAAAACCAACTGTGAGAGATGAATAGGGTCAAAGTATATAATTTGCATGTATAGAAATATCATGACAGAACCCCTACTAGGTACAATTTAATCTATGCCAATTAAAAACCAGGGATTTAGAACTGTTATTTTTTTAAATCAACTGGCACAGTTCCTTTTATTCATAGAATAAAAATGTCTCTCTCAAAGCATGTGTGTGGAGTTGGAGTAAGAAGGAGTGGGGAGGGAGTAGATCCTACATATTTGATTTGGTTTGTTTCAACTCACAAATTTGTATAAATAGAAGGAGCTAATTAGAAAAGTACCTGTGAAAATAGAAGCATTAAACAAATGTAAGATCGCAGCTGCTATTTGAAATAAATATTTATTGTACATCAGGCACTGGAGAGGAGATTGGTAATAGATCAATGAATGAATAGATAATATGATACAGTGAAGGCTCCTGTAGATGCATGTCCAAGAAGGGTTTCTCTGGACAGGTGACAGGTACGCCCACTGACAATAAGAAGCCAGCTCTGTAACTTCACAGAATGCCCCAGGCAGGGGAGAGGTTAAGACACCAGGCGGAAACAAACGGCATATTTATGGAAACTCAAGAATACCAGAGTGCTTGGGGCATGGCAGGTTGGAGCTCAGGGGGTAACCAGGTCAGATCATGCAGGACAGCTTCTAGTATAAGCTGTACAAAAAGGCCATTGGGTAGCTTCAATTGGAAGTAATGAGATTAAACTTAGGTTTTCAAAGGATCAACCTAGCATGATTCATGCACCAAATTTTAGTTCCCATTTTTTAATGATGCAGATGATACTTCACCATTTAACAGAGCATTGTTAGAAATGGTGCATCAATGATGCCTCCCAAACTGCCCATCCTTCCCTCGATTTGCTTCTCTCATCCCTTCTTTTCTTCCTTCATTGGAAGTTCATATATTCATTTTTGACCCCACTTTGTGTGCTGATTACCATTCCTGGCAGTAAACCACTGTGGCGAACCAAAATGACAAGTTCCTGAACTCTTGGAGCCTATAATGCAATGAAACTTACAGAGCAATGAGAAACAAATAAACACATGAACAAGATATTAGATTATCATAACTGCTCTGCAGAAATCCTAGTGAGATAAAACAATGTGTATTTATATTGTTGATGGGAGGCTAAGGTTCTAGGGGGTGAGTAAGTGGATATCTGAGGCCAGACAAGTAGCAAGAGCTGAAACACTCAGGGTTTTCAAATCTAAATTCAATTTTCTTTTCACTGTACCACATTAGTTCTCATAGTATTCTCTTAGTTGCCTTTGCAAAACCCTGGGAGAAATTCTGCCTTAGACTTGAGTCTGGAGATAAAAACAGCCATGTTGGGGAATTGGAAAGAAGAAAGCACTTGGGAAAGAGAACATTGAGAGGACCAGAGAGGCAAACCTGGACACCTTACATATCCTCTTTGTAGCTTTGCAGGCCGTGGGTAAGTCAAAGAAGCGCTCATAGCTTCATTCTACCCAATGAGAGTTCTTGCCAGCGAATGCCTTTAAAAGCATGGCCCAGAGACCTAGGTTGATGGGAGGTGGCAGCAAGCTCACAGAGACCTACAGGAGCTAAGACAAGTCCCATGAACTTAGCACAAAGGCTCAAATGAGCTGAGCAACTGTATTCCTGGAAATATCAAGTTTTAGTAAAGAAATCAATTGTAAAATCACTTAGAAAGGTAGCAAGTCTTCTTTTATCTTTCTTTGTGGTCATAAATTCTGGACCTTAAAAGTAGAGAGTTGGACAGCTGGAAGAGTGGGTCCTCATGTCTCCCCTGGAAAGAATTTACAAGGCTAGACTAGGGCACCAGTCTGACAGACATTGCCAAAAGATCTTCACAGTGTGGAACAGACACAGACCTGAGGGTTGTTGTATTGGTTACTACTTCAGAGTTGCACAACCAATAACCAAACACCGCCAATTTTTTTAAATGTGGGTTTTACATCGTGATTAAATCTTTAAGAGAGTTTGTGAAGTGCTTTAGAGGATTAGTGGGTTTGTGTTTTGCTTGACTCCCAGAAAAAAAAAAAGAGTATTTTCCACTCCAGTGACTTCAAACTAAGCTCAGGACATTTCAGGCAAGGATCTTATTAGCAAATAGATCTTGTTTTTGTTGGTTAGCACTCTTGAATAAATTGAGAGAAAAGCAAAAGCATCTTGGCTTTATGACTTCCAAGACGGATCTCACATCACTCTCCTCCACTGCCAAGGCCACGTTGATCTCAGTTTGTAGCATTCTAGCCAGGCTCTGGCAGAACCATCCTAACAGCACCAATCTAAGGTCATGAAGAGAATTGCCCTTTCAAAGTGGAGAGGGGTTACCAGGAGTTTGGGTGGAGGATGAGGGAGAAAATGGCAGAACACAGCATTTTTAGGTTAGGTTATGGATAATACTTGTGATGGTGGTGTTATATGCACGCATTCCAAAGGAGAGAATAGATAACACTATGAATGAACCTTTATAAAGGACAGACTCATCCAATGTAACTGTACGGGTCTGGTGAGGGTTGTCGAGAACAGGAGAGAATGCACACATGTGGAAACAGTGGGAAGAGTATAGGACATCTCTGTGTCATTTATACAATTTTGTCATCGAACTAAAACACCTTAAACAGGGCTGGAAAGATGGCTCGTGGTAGAGTGCTAGCCTTGAGCTGAAGAGCGGAGGGATAGCACCCAAGCCCAGAGTTCAGGCCCCATAACCAACAACAACAAAAAGTCCTTAAACAGAGATGGGGAGGAGAGGAGAGGAAAGAGAGGAGAGAGAGGCAGGGGGAGGGGTGGGAGAGCTTTCTTTTCTGTTTCAGAAAGAACATTTTCAACTGTATCCCTATTCTTTTTTTTTTGGTCTGGTCGTGGGGCCTGAACTCTGGGCCTGGGCGCTGTCCCTCAGCTCTTCAGCTCAAGGCTAGCGCTCTACCACTTGAACCACAGTGCCACTTCCGGTTTTTCTTTTTTGCTTATGTGGGCTTCATGCATGCAAGGCAAGCGCTCTACCACTGAGCCACCTTCCCAGCCCTCCCTATTCTTTATAGTTAGTTTTTCCTCCAGAAAAAGTGCCAGCCTTCCTCTTATGAGACCTTCCTTCTCCGGGGAATAGAAGAACATTTGGCTTAGCCATATTTCATCGCTCAACTCTCACTCTTTTCCCCTGACTTCCCCCCCCCCCACTCCACTCCTGCCATTGGGAAATGGGACGTGTGATTCTCCACAACTAGGCAGTCAGTTGGTCACAGGCTCCCTCGGGAGTGGGCAATGTTTGTGCAGAAGAGATCTGCATATTTCAGTGGACATAGTCCAGACCCCACCAAGAGGATTTTTGGAATATAACTTACTGCTTTTTTTTTTTGAGAGTTTGATTTACCCAGCTTTCAGGGAGGAATGGTGAATTACTAATCAACATCTTATTAACTCCCACGCCAAGCTAGTCTTGACACACCAAGATAATTCAGTTCCGAAAACATCAACACCTCCAGTATTGTCTAGCTCTGTGCAAGGCATTGTAAAACTCAGCTACAGCACCTATATACAGTGCAGTGCTAATAATCTGCAGTGCTAACAATCTGGTGTGTTAGTAGGATTATAGGTTAGACCCCCTATTTAGAGTAACATTTTTTAAAAAGCTTGATCACCTTGTAGTATCTTTGCCACAAGGAGCAGAGTAGTGTGGTTGGTTATTCTCAGTATTCTCTTTGGCCTACTATCCTGTG